CTTGCAGGATTTTTAACCTCTTTGACTTTACCATCCTTACTATGAAATGGGAAGGAGCATCTATCATTCAGATTCAGCTCTCACATGTTCTGAAGAGCAGTTTAGTTGTAGAGATATAAGCAGATAGCTATGCTACAACGGCTTCATCATTGGAAAGGAATGGAATAAACCACAGGTTTTAAGATATATAATAATGTAATATATATATATATATATATATATATATAAAATATTATTGAACTCAGGACCTCAGACTCACTATGGTTAGTGTTTTAACACCTAAGACACACCCCCATCCATTTTCTGCTTTTGTTGTTTTTCTGATTGGGCCTAAAAAACAGATTTGAGGCCTGGGACTGGCCTCAAACTTGAATCCTCCCACTGAGCTGGGATTCCAGGTATGTACCACCACACAGAAATGTATTTTTAAACCTTAGCTGAATATTCACCTTGTGGAAGAATTGTAGAAGCAGCACTAGGCGGGCGGTAGAATCACATTTTGTCAGTGCTTGGACTGGGATGGTTGTGACCTGCCCATCTTTATTCTTCATTTTCAAGGCTTGAGACCCTCAGCTTTGCAAGTTGAGGCTTAGGAAAACTGACCAGCAAGTATCTACCTTTGTACCCTGACATAGTCAGGCCAGTCTAGGAGGAGGGACTTGTATGCTATTTGAGAAGGGGTAGTAATAGAATGTTCATGTCCCTGTTTCAACAAGTTTGCTCCGGATGTTTCTGTAATGACAAAATACAGATAAAGATTTGAACACATGGGCTGGGAAGGTGGCTCAGTGGTAGAGCGCTTGCCTTGCATGCCTGAGGCCCTGGGTTCGATTCCTCAGCACCACATAAGCAAAAAGAAAAAAGCTGGAAGTGGCACTGTGGCTCAAGTGGTAGAGTACTAGCCTTGAGCTGAAGAGCTGAGGGACAGCGCCCAGGCCCAGAGTTCAGGCCCCACGACCGGTTTTAAATAAAAAAAATAAAATAAATAAAAAAATAAAAGATTTGAACACATATTCATTGAGGTGTTGTGTAGGATAGCAAAGAACTAGTGTTTCAAGCGCATAATTCTAGCTACTTTGGAAGCAAAGATTGGGATATCATGATTTGAGGACAGTCCAGGCATAAGTTTGCGAGACTCCATCTCAGCCAATGGCTGGGTGCAGTGGTGTTCACCTATCATCTCAGCAACAAAGGAAAGCACAAATAGGAGAACTGTAGTCCAGACTGGACTAGGGAAAACATGATCTAGCTAAAAAAAATCCAAAAAGGAGCTGGCTTAAATGACATAGCATCGGCTTAGCAAGTGTAAGGCCCTGAGTTCAAACCTGAGTACTGTCAAAAACAAATTTAAAAATAATCTCCTTTCTCTTTTCAAACTGTAGGCAAGCTAGTAGAGACAGATGTCATGAAAACTAAAAAAGCAAGCTCAAACAAAAACATAAGTCATTGTGAGCTAGAAGCAGGAGCTAACCTGCAAAATGGCTAGTACTGTAACATTAAAGGTTGCATGACAGAAAAAGAATGAAAGAAAGAAAGATAAAAAGAAATGAAAGAAGGAAGGAAGGAAGGAAGAGAGAGAAAGAAAGATACTTTCCTTTCCCCAGCACTCTCATTTTCCCTCTCAGAAGAATATACACTAGAGGAAGTCTGTCTGACCTCATCCCAGATGATCAGTGCACCCCGAACTTAAAAATGCCCAGAACAGGTAGGTGTCAGAGGCTCAGGCCTGTAATCCTTGCTATTCAGAAGGCTGACATCTGAGAGTTGTGCTTTGAACCAGCCCAATCAAAAGTCCATGACACTCTTTTCTCCAATTAGGCAGCAAAAACCTGGAAGTGGAGCTGTGGCTCAAGTGGTAGAGCAACAGCCTCAAACAAAAAAAGCTCAGGTAGCTGAGCGTTGGTATCTCACACCTGTAATCCTAGCTATTCATGAGGCTGAGATCTGAGGATCGTGGTTCAAAGCCAGCCCAGGCAGGAAAGTCTGCAAGACTCTTATCTTCAATAAAACTTCAGAAAACTGGAAGTGGTGCTGTGGCTCAAGAGGTAGAGCACTTGCTTTGAGCTGAAGAGCTGAGGGACAGCACCCAGAATGACCAAAAAAAAAAGCTCAGGGACCATGCTCAGGCTCCAAGTTCAAACTCCAGCAACCCCCCATGTATAAATGCCTGCTACAGCAAATATTTTGATAGAGAGTACCCATATAAGTTTTACAATATACAGAAACCAATGTCACAAGACCCTTTCACCATACTTTAGACTCAAAGTTTCCATGCTTGGGTGATAAATTCAGGTTTTGCAATAGCAAAGAGATTGTTAGCAAGTGTCAAACAAAAAGAACATGTTTCTGAAGTTAAATTCTCCTAACCCTATTTTTTTTGCCAGTCCTGGGGCTTGAATTCAGGGCCTGGGCACTGTCCCTCAGCTCTTCAGCTCAAGGCTAGAACTCTACCAACTTGAGCCACAGGGCCACTTCCGACATTTTCTGCATATGTGGTACTGAGGAATCAAACCCAGGGCTTCATGCATGCTAGGCAAGCACTCTACCACTAAGCCACTTTCCCAGCCCTCCTAACCCTCTTTAGCCAGTATAAATAGTTCTACTGGGAGACAGCTCTGGGAAGCATGTCTACAACACTTCTCTTCAAACTCTAAGAATGTGTTTCCAGGGGTTCATGCCTTAATCCTAGCTACTCAAGAGGCTGAGATCTGAGGACTGCAAGTAGAAGCAGAAAAGCGCATGAGACTCTCATCTCAGGTGAAGCTATGGCTCAAGTGGTAGAGCACTAGCATGGGACAGCACCCAGGCCAAGAGTTCAAGCCCTAGGACCAGAAAAAAAATAGAATGTATTTCCTCAATTATGTCTCCCTTGCTCTATATTACTTGACCAATCAAATCTTTGTCCACTTTCTACTTATTTTTTCTCAAGTGGTTTCAAGAGCCAGAAACTGGAGGACAGTGAGTTGAGCATCTTTATCTTGAGATCCTCTTTAACCCTTTCTCCAATGAAGATTTCAGCAATTGTCATTTTGTGGGATGGAAAAAAATGGGCCTGGTCCAGTCACCAAAGCAAGTGGGAGCTTAGGAGGTGGGAACAAGGCAGAGCAGGGGTTTAGCCTGGAGCACAGCACTGGCTCCCAGGTAGTGCTGTGGGTCTGGCTGGAAGTCTCAGAGCGCATGGCTTCTTACAAGTGGTCCCTCACATCATCTCCAGCTCCCAGTCCTTGTCATGGGACATTGGATTGCAAGATACAAAAGCATCTCCAACCAGCTCAACAGAAGGAACCTCCATATGGGCCTCCATAAAGCCCACCAGCACAGGAAAACTCCCTGGCTGTCAGTCTCTGGCAGAAAGTCTCTCCTCCTTTTAACCCACTGCAGCCTCCACCTCTGTTTCCACCCAGGGCTTGTCTGTGTCCACAGAGAGGCCCATGATCCTGGCTGTTGCCTGGTCTTTATCTCAATTCTGTCTAGAGATAGCAGCTCCATCTGCATCTCTGCCTGAGAGGCTAGTGTCTTTCCCTTGGGAGAGGAAGGAACCTGGTTGGTTTTACTTGGGCCAGCTTGGAAGAGCATGAAGGTCTCTATTTAGCCAAAGAATAGACTTGAACTGGGCAGCATCTTCCATGTACCCATTGCCTGTGTACCTGCCCAGATGGCTCCCCTTGTGTGGATATTCACTCCCAGGGCCTCCCAGAGCACACTGCCTGATATCACCATTCATTCCTTCAAATATCTGTATTTCCCATACAGCTCAATTCACCCTGCATTGAAACTTCAGCCTCAGCCAGCTCTAGGTTCTTAGGGACTTTCTTGGGAATCTAGGTGGTAGATGGCCTATCTTTCTGCAGTTAGATTCCCTAACCATGCCAGGCATCTCCAGTGTGTGTGCCCTATAAAAATACATAGTAATTTTTTTCCTAGTTTTTTTTTTTAACACTAACACTTTAGGGATCAATTGTCCAAGCAATTCTCCCATGGACTCCTGTTGGTGTCTTATAATTCAATTCAATTCTGTCACTGTCTGCCTGTATTTAGAGTCATCTCTCACTCCACCAAGCCTGACTCGACTTCAGATGTCAATGACAAGTAATATGCTATCCTTGGTATGTCAGAAGAGTAGGCTGTAAATCAGGGGCTCCCCACCACCATTTTCCCCTCAGGTTCCATTCAAGAGATGCTCACAACATCAAAGGAACTTCTTACTTTGCACTTACCAGTTTGTCATAACAAATATTTCAAAGGATACAGATAAGTAGCCAGTGAAAAGACAGATAGGCAAGGTTTGTAGGAAGGGGCACAGGGCTCCCATATTACTCTGAGTGCCACCCTCTAGGCACTTCCTTGTGTTCAGCTATCTAGACACTAAGTTATCTTGTTGCTCATGTTTTACCTTCATAGAGGTCAGGAAATGGGGCTGAAAGTGCCAACCCTCTACTCAATTAGCCCTTCTAGCAACTGGCCCCACCCTGAGGCCATCCAAGGGCCAGCCTTACTTGCCTCATTAGCATAATCTCAGGTGTTAGCCAAAGGTTTATCATTTCTGAATAACAAAAGATACTCCACCCACTTACAAGAATCACTAGAAATGGCAAAGACTCAACACAATATGTTCCATGCCATACACAGCTTCTGTTAGCATGGGATGTTTGAGAGTAGAGTTCCTACAGGGGCTTCCTAGGAGCCCTGTGACCTCTGGAAGATGCTGAGCTGCCTGGATGATCAGCTAATCATCACCAGGATTTGTTTGGCGTTCAGAAGCAGGTGTCCACCAGGAAGCAAGTATTGGCTGTTCTGTTGAAGAGTGGACTGCTGTGAGGCCATGCTGGCCAGGGCTGCAGGAGGCACGTGGGAGTGGATATGCTTGGAGTCTGAGGACAAAGTCCTGTAATAAATTACGTGAGCTAGGAGCACTCAGCCATTTCCTCTTCATTCCCTTCCGCCTCTCCGGCTGTCTCTTACTCTATCCCACACCAGAGCCTTGGTGCTGCCTCTCGAAGTTCTTTCTGGGTGCCCAGAGCAGAGGGGAAGGAGTCTTGACAAGGTAAGAAAGCCCTGGACTGTTCCACCAGCTGGAAGGGAGGAGGGACTCTGCTGAAGGAGGAGAGTCTTTAGGCAGGAGACAAATCAGGAGGCACAGACCCCAAAACAGGGTGGGCAGGCTTGTGGGAAAGAGGGTTGGTTATTTCCCTGAGGAACCTCCACACTGGAGACCTCAGCAGGGCTTTCCAGTCTGCTGGGCTGCAAGGGCCCTCTCTGAAAAGCACAGGGGAAGGAAAAGCTGTGTGGGCCTGCTGCTGTAAGGAAGGTGAACACTGAGACAGGCCTGGGCTGTGCTGCCTCCAGACAAAGCCACCTCACAGCTAGAGGGCCTGGGTGAGGATCAAGGGGCCTCCGGGATAGCTCAGGAACCACACCAAAGCTCCACTGCATCACAGGAGGAGGCTCACTGCTTCCTCAGGAAAATGTGATGCCATTCCTCGGGGACAAGAGACTGAAAAGGGGGCTTTCGGGTACCCTTTAGAAGACACAGAGCTGGGCTGTCTCTGGAGACTGGGTTGACTGATTCTCATACCTTAGAAAATGGCTGCCTTGTGAAAGGCCTGGACCCTGGTGTAGAAAGACACAGCCTTAAAGCCTTCTGCTATGAGTGTTGGGAGAATCAGGTGGCTGAGAAGAGAGGCACAGCTGTGAGCCCCCGGGCTACTGGCACAGTATGTGATACACATCCCCCACTTCCCTGAGGAGGAGTCAGGAGAGATGGGCTGACATTGGGCAAGCAGGGATTCTAAAGATCCCAAATTGGTGGGGGTGGGACTCCCCCTCAGGTTCCACTTTGTAACTGTGGACTGGAATTTTGCCTTAATCCCTAAGATTCTGGAACTGTGCTCAGAATTTTAGTTAGAAGAAAACCAAAACCCTGAATGTGGCTCTTGAACCCACTTTCCCATCACACACTCATGAACCCCTCAGCTAAAGAGCTATTTGGGAGAAAACTCCCTCCACCTTCCTGGATGTGCTGTGTGCCTTGCCACCTGTCCTTCAGATGACATTTCTCAAAGAAGTATTCCACAAATGTCTGCATAGGACCCAGGCTGTCAGCGTAGGATTCTGTGGGAAAGTCTCGCAGCTACACTAGGCACTTACAATGCTCCACATTTTACTTGTCTCAAGCGGCTCTAGCTTCCTTTTTCTTACTCCATCCATATAATATGCACTCTAGAAGACATAGTTGTATGATTTTCATGGAAGAGGACATTGAGGTCAAGGCAGGTAAAACAATTTCCTCAGCATCACTAGACTATGATTTGAGCTCCTTGATGACAAGGGCTGGATCCCCTAGGATTTCACTGACCCTGTCCTGTCAGGATGCAGAGAATAAGTGCCACGTAGGCATGACAAGTGGATGAATGATGAGGATAGTGGCAGAAGGCCAGCCAGGGATGGAGTCAAGCTCTCCAATCGGATGTAATGATATCAGAGAGGTAGAGAATGGCTCTTCTGTACCTCCTCAGTTAATCAAGCTATGTGGATCAAGATCCTTTGCTACTAGCTAGTGACATGGGACTGGTGAAGTGGGTGAAAAAGGTGATGCATGAACCCCAAAGGCACAGAACTCAGGGCATCAAGTGCTCATGGGAGGTCATGCAGCTGAAGGCAAGAATGGGGCGGTAAAGACACGAGTGGGCTTTGAAGGAAAGAATGGCACAATGACAGTGGCAGAGAACTGCAGATAGTTCAGGAGAAGGAAATGCCATCCACAAAGAGGATGAGAGAAGAAAGGACCCATTCAACTTGAACCTTGGCAAGTGCCTGGCAGAAACCCAGTGTGGATGTAGAGTAACAGTAAAGGACTCTCGATTGCTATCTTAGTATGTTTTCTGGTGCTAATAACTCAATGCCAGAGTTTTTTTTTTTAAGGGCAGTGGTAGGGAGTGGTTTATTGTGGTATGGTTCTGGTACCGGGTCAAAGGGCTACATCTGGTAATAATGTTTTTGCTGACAGAGTCCTAAGGTGGTGGCAGGCATCACCTGGGATAGAGATAAGAAGCATGTGTGGCCTGGGCACTAATGTCTCATGCATAATAGACTGAGATTTGAGAAGCAAGCTTCAAAACCAACTCTGACAGGAAAGTCTGTGAGACTCCTGTCTCCATTAACCATCAAAAAGCTGGAAGTAGAGCTGTGGCTCAAGTGGTAGAGTGTTATCCTTGAGCAAAAGAAGCTCAGGGACAGGACTCAGGCCTTGAATTTAAGCCCCCGTACCAGCACAGAAAAAAAAAATGCATACAGGTGTCCTCTGATCTTTCCCTCCTCTTATGAGTCACCAAGATTCCTGGAGACTGCTGTGATGACATTACCTGATCCTAATCACCTACTAAGTGTCCCACCCACAAACACCTTCTTCATAACTCACAAAGAGGATTTAGGTTCAATATGGGATTCAGAGGTCACAAACCACATTTGAATCATACTGGCCATGATGATCAGAATGTTTTCTTTATTGTCACAAACAGTAGCCACCAGTCACAAATAACTATTGAATGCTCTAAGTGTAGCTGGTAAAACTGAGGAGCTGAATTTTAATTTTAACTAAAATTAAATTAAACAGTCACCTGTAACTAGTGTGGCTCTACAAAGCCAGGCTGAGGAGAGAGAGATGTAGATTAAGAAAGGACTTTGGAGCCAGCTCTGAATTCTAATCCTAACTCTGTCACTAATGTGGGACCTTAACCTTTGGTTAAGGGAAATTAAGCCTTCCCTTGAAGGGTTGTTATGTGGATTAAATTAATGAGCTACTACTGGAAAACTTTTAGTATAATGCCAGCCTGAGACTCTGCTCTGTTCTGGAGGACTGGGGAGAGAGTGCTAAGGTAGTGGAAGTATATGTGTTGCCAGTCAGCCCAGGGTGGATTTTTTTTTGTCTTCCCCCTCCTCAATCTAAGCTAGGAATCACAGAGGCAAGTGATACTAATCAAACAAGGCTCTATTGTGCCTATGTATGGGTAGTATTTCCTGGACTGGCTCCTCAAACAGGTGTTAGGAACATTTTTTATAGTTTGTTTGTTGTTCACATAGACATGCACTGGTGGTTGTTGTGCCCCATTCAGGATTTCTGCACAGGTCTCATTTGATCTTTGTTCTCCACACTGGGGTCTATGCTTGGCCTGGTGTTTGCTAATGCTCATGAGTCCTTTTGCACTTGGCTTGCAGATATATGGTTGGGGGGGGCATGGCTGCCCACCAGTTAGATCATACAGTGGTGAGAACCCAGCAGTTTGTGTATCTAGAGGATGCAGCTTTTTACAAGTATTAAAGGAAGCATGTAGCACACATAGGAGTAAACTAGCTTCTTATTAAAAGAAGAAAAACAGAAAACATGGCTATAAAGTCAGGCCATTTCTGTTTAGCTCCATACATACTTTATCAATTTCTCCTTCATTTACCACCTACCTTGTTTGAAGAGCAAACAAACAGTTGTTTGAAGTTGCTTACAGATCTGCCAATACCCAAACAGAATCTAAAATAAATGAGAAATAGGGGTGAGGAAAAAACTAAGGAAAGAAAAGATAATGTAGCCTGGGGAAAGATTAACAAATGAAATGCACATTAGAAAGCCCTATACAGACAAAGGGTGATCCAATTGAGCAGTAATACTCACTAGGCACTATACAACTTGAGTGGGGGGCAGAGGGGAGTCAGGAGAGGAAAAACTGGGAGAAAATGAGGCAGGGGGTGACTGTTCAAAAAGAAATGTACTCATTACCTGACCTATGTAACTATATCCCCTTTGTACAAAAAAACCCTGTATTTTGCTAGGTATCCATGAAATTTATTCCACACCTCCCAATAGTACAGTCTAGTACAGAAGTACAATCAAGCAGAGACAGACCAATGCTGCCACTGAGTTGTGAGTAAGCCAATCTCTGGGAAGAAGGCCAGCTCTCTAGTGGAAGATAAATCCAGGAGGGCTTCTAAAGGCTGCTTGTGGAAGATGGACAAGAGTCTCTCAAGAGCTGAGAGGGAGGCGCCAACCGTTTGTCTCTAGAATAAAAGAGACTCTCTTAAGGGATATCTCTAGGATGAAAGGGGTCTTCGGTGTGTTTCAAGCTATCTCTGGGTAAGCTGACAGCTTGAGGAAAGTTCTCTGGATGGATGTAAGCCACATATTTCAATGCAAGGTGGTGAGGGTTATTCTTGAGAGTTGTATAGAGTCTGTTGGGAGCACAGAGCAACAGGCTCCATCACCTCGATTCAGGGAGGCTAAAGGAACATTGGCTAGGTCTGAGAGAATGGGTTGAAGATGAGGCTAAATAGGCTGGCACTTCACTGAACCTACAGGGAACCATAGCACCCAAACCAGATCTCGGAGCATTCTGGTGGAATCCTTCAGCACTTTTTAATATAGGATCAGATTATTTGCTAATAGGTATAATTGGCTTCTTCATTTCCTAGTTGTATCCTTTCAGTTCTCTGTCTTTGTCTTTTATCTCTCCATCTCTGTCTCTGTTGATCCGTCCATCTGTCTGTCTCTTCTATTTATCTGCCTAAGAATTCAAGCACCATATTGAATAATCTCATTCCTGGCTTCAGAGGAAATGGATTCAGTTTTTCCCCACTCACAATGTTGGTTACAGGTTTGTCAGATTTAGCCTTTGTTATGTTGAAGCATGTCCCTTCTGTTCCTAGACTTTCAGTACTTTTATCCTGAAGGAAAGTTGAATTTTGTCAAAGGCTTATTTCTGAATCTATTGAAAGATCATGTGTCCCAGATTCTACTGAAGTGCTGCACTGTGTTTGGTTTTACATATGTTGGACAGTCCTTGCACTCCTGGAAAGTAACTTGTAGTGCATGATCTTTTTAAATGTTGTTAAATTTGGTTTGTGAATATTGTATTGATGATCTTTGTATGTATATTTATCTATTCCTTCTGGTTTATTCTTTTCAGTTTTGATATTAGTGTATGACTGGCTTCATAGAATGAGTTTGAAAGCATTCGTGTCCTTTTCTATTTTGTGGAATGATTTGAGGACTGTTGGTGTTAGTTTTTTAAAGTCATGGTAGAATTAAGAGTGAAATAGTCCAATCCCGGGCTTCATTTGTTGTGAGATTCTTTGTTACTGCTTTCTTCTTATTATATTTCTTTGTTGAGAGATTCCTTATTACTGCTCATTATAGATCTATTTAGATTTTTCATAATCACTCGGTTCAGTTTGGGTGGGTCATATGTGTCTAGACATATAGCCATCTAGTCTAGAGTTTCCATATAAGTTTTGGAAAATATTGCCTAATGATCATCTGTATCTCAGGAGTTTTTGTTACAGAATTCCCTTTTTCTCTCAAATTTTAATAATGTGTTCTTCTCTCTTTTGGTTTGGCTAAGGCTTTGCCAATCTTGATGCTCTTTTAAAAGAACCAATTCTATATTTCATTAATCAATCTTTTCATTGTTCCTTTAGTCTCTATTCAATTTCCTCCCTCACCTTTATTATTTCTTTCCTTCTACTAATATTGGCTTTGGCTTATTCTTGTCTAAGATAAGCATATCATTAGATCATTTAATCTCTTTTTGATTTTACGATAGGCACTAGCAAACTTATTTTTATTTTTTACACATTGTTTTTATATATTTTTATATATGTTTTATATATTGTTATTGTAAAGGTGATATTCAGAGGGGCTATAGTTACATGTCATTACAGATAGTGAGTACAATGCTTTTGAACCATGTCACCCCTCCCCTTGCTCTATCTCAGTTTTTCCCTCCTGTCCCAAGATATGTAGTTCATTTTCCACATAGTGTCTAGTAAGTACTACTATGGTATTTGTTCACCCTTTATTCCACCTTTTCTGTGTTCCTCTTTACCTCCCAAAGACAAATAAACTAACAAATAAAAGGAAAAGACAACAAAAATAGCAAGTATAGCACCAACAAAAGTCTCTTGTCTGTTTTTCTTGGATTTCATTTTATAAGATATTTTATATGATCATATGCACATAGCTATTGAGCCTTTGTGATCAACTCCTATTATTATATTGTATTATATCCCTTTTTGACCTTACTGAGTGAATGTCTAGAAACCTGTATAATTTATCATGTCCCAGTATATTTTTATATCATTCAACATGTATACTTGTAGGTTTATAGGCGCATTCTAGTTAACACAAATGAGGGAAACCATGCAACTTATGTTTCTTTGGATCTGGCTTACTTTGCTTAATGTAATTATGAATGGTACAATAGCATTCTTTCCCTAGAGTAGTTCACAGTTCAGTCTAAACAATAGGCTACCTCTTCCCTCCTTCCACTTCCTCCTCCTTCATCCTCCTCCTCCCCCTTCCTTCTTTTTCATCTTTCTCTCCCTCCTCCTCTCTCTCCTCTTTCTCTTTGGCAGTATTGAGGTTTGAACTCAGGGCCTCTTACTTGCTAGGCAAGCACTCTCCCACTTCAGCCATTCCCCTTGAAGGATTGACTCCCACCCTATTATCCCAGGTGCATACAGATGTTAGACAAAAACCAGGTATGCGCAGATGTGCTTGACTCAGGCAGGATAATCCAACCTAAGCCTAGCCATAAACATCCCATTGTGGGCCTAACCAAAAATCCCTGCTTCCCCCAGGCCTAATAGCCTTCCAATAATCTCTTTCTCCTTGCTCAGACCCCATACAAGCCCATCTCCAACCCCACTTCCTTGCACAGTCTTCATCCTACAGTAAGGCACTGCTGTGCCTCAATATACTGTCCTCATCTATTGAGATGGAGTCCAGTCTGTTGTTTCTCCTCCAGTTTCTTAACACCCTAGTCCTTTTTGCTTTAGTTATTTTTCAGATACTTTTTTTTGGGGGGTCCGTTCGTGGGGCCTGAACTCTGGGCATGGGCACTGTCCCTCAGCTCTTCAGCTCAAGGCTAGTGCTCTACCACTTGAGCCACAGCGCCACTTCTGGCTTCTGGCTTTTTCTGCTTATGTGGTTCTGAGGAATCGAACCCAGGGCCTCATGCATGCAAGGCATGTGCTCTACCACTGAGCCACCTTCTCACCCCTTAGATAGTTTTTAAATGTAATTCTACCTATGGCCTCTTGTGTAGCTGGGATGACAGCTACACCATTACCAGCTTCTTTGTTGAGGTAAAATCTTGCTGTTTTTCCAGGGCTGTCCTCAAAATGTATCTTCCAGTCTCTGCCTCCCAAGCATCTTAGACACTACACGTGACCAGTCCTCAGCATTTTCCATGTTCTCACTTATATAATGGGGGAGCCACCAAATCAATATCCTCTGAATGTCTCACTCATGTGTTTTCCCTCCCAGGAGTACTTCCAGGAGTACTGCCAAGTATTAGAGCATCATACAGTTGTTCTACACTTATATAAACTGATATGGGCCTATTCACTGATGCCTTCTGGAGCAGGCTAGGACTCAATTGCATGCTCTCAAGATTCAGATGTTGAAGTCCAGTTAGGACTTCAGGACTCAGAATGTGTATTTAGAGATAAGGTCTTTAGAGTTAGAGTGTGGTAAAAGAGCTTGACTAAAGCACTGAGTTCAAACCCCAGTCCCCAAAAATAGAGAGAGAAAGAGATGGAGAAACAGAGAGAGAAAGGAGGAAAGGAGGGAGGGGGAGAGAAAGGAAGGAAAGAAGGAAGGAAGGAAGGGAGGGAGGAAGTCTTTAAAGAGATGACTAAAATAAAACAAAGTCATAAAAGTGGGCCTAATCCAATCTGGTGACATCCTTACAAGAATATCTGGAACATGAATACTGACATCCTGTTTTCTTTCCACTTACAGGCCACAGGGGACTGCTGAGCCAGGATGACGATGTTCAGACTGGTAAGAACTGCATTTATTTGATCTAGGCTACAGAAGTTGTCTCAAGATGAGTTGAACTATTTCCAAGGAAAAAGAGAAAAACCCTAGAAGGAAAATCACAGAGACAAAGGAGTTTGAGGAATGAAAAGTATTCTATTAGCAAAGGAAGACAACTTTAGCAACTTTCAGCATCTCAAGGTGGTCATATGTATGCACATAAGTGTCCCTCACTTCTAGTCAAGGCTTGAAAGGGCGGTTCTCATTGGTTATTTCCTTGTGGGACTTACTGGGAGCCTGTGCAGAGAAAACAGGTGACTGGATTTTGTGTGACAGGGTGTGAATCAGACCCCAGGCCAAAACTCTACTCCGCGGCCTACATCACGTTTCCTTCACTCAGCATATCACTGGATGCAGGTGAGGGTTTGTGAAGTTTCCCTCTAAAGATAGGGACTCTTCACTTAAAATCCTTGACTTCAATCAAGAATAAGAATTTCTGGACAAATCACAATGGTAAGAAAACTTGGCAGAACTTCATTAAGTAAGTAAGCAAGCAGGCAAGCAGACAAACAGACAAGCAAAAAGGCAGAGAGTAGGTGCTCTCAAAGGGAAAAAGACACATGGGGCTCTTTGACATCAGGGGTATTTATATACCAAAGTCAGGGCTTAACTTTATTAAAGTTAGGCAGATAGATGTCTATCTTTGCTTCTCATTACTCTTAGTGTTACACTTTTACCACCTGGGTTCAGGTGGTACACTGACCTGTACTTTAAGTATATGACCATTGTGTTTGGGCATCCATTTCAGGAAAGAATGCATTCCGCCATATATTTTTTTGAATGTGTTATCCTTGAGATAGAATGCATCCTTCCCACAAATGTCATCTTTTGAGATAAGCACTTTGTGCCACTTTTCCAACCAAGTATTTGCTTCTCCAGGACACATGTCCTTTTATAATGTCCTTTCTCAGTGTTAAGAGCACACTAATTGTTTGGGGTCAGCAGGCAAGGTCAGGTGGAAAAAGCTTCTCTTGCTCCCTCCCCACCCCCACCCCGTGTTAATATGGCAGCTTTATAAAGGAGTTGCAAGGGTTCAAACAAAGAAGACAGTGTTATGCTTCTAAATATACTATTTCTAAATTCCTGGCTGCCACTCACTTTATTTTCCCTTGTCTATCCTTCATTGTCCCCTAAAATGACTTTGGTCCTTCATCTTGAGGGAAGTTGGTGGGTAACGATCCTGAGTTTTTGAATTCCTGACTGCCCTTTGCCACGCCTCATCTTCCCTCATCTGTCATGTGTCAGTTTGTTTTCAGAATAATTTTAACTGACATAGAAAAACTGTATATATTAGTGAGATACTATTATGTAGGAATTCAGTCCTGAGAAGCAGAGAAGTCACGTTTTGAGAGTTCAAACTGAGAGTCTTAATAGGAAGCCAGTGACTGCAGGTGAACTATCACAAAGACCTGCACCCCAGAATGCTATCAGCACAAAGATTTTAAAGGCAAAATCCACATGCTTGCAGTGAGAACCAAGTCTCCACAAAAATGTTAAGCAAAGCAAGCCATATAGGGGAGTACTCAGGGGTGAACAAACCAAACCGTCCAGAGGAACAATCAGGGGTAAGCAGGGGCTAAACAGCATGATGCACCTGCAATTCAAATAACAGCTTATCTCACCTTTAGGCTTTTCAGAGTTGGATGAAAAGCCATCCTCCCCACCCCCCAGTAAGACACCAGCGTGGTGGTGAGAACAAGACATTGTTGCTTAGGTCTGGTATTCTTATTTCAGTACATGTAATGTTTTGATACATGTGTGCATGTGTAGTGTTTAAATCAAAGTCAATATATCTGCATCACCTGTTAAGTTTTAATTAAGGCAAAGCCAAAGAAATGTACCTATGAATGCACCAGTTCAAAGGTCTCAGGATATAAGGAACTGTGAAGCAGAGTTTGGAAAAATACTGCTTGACATCATGTTGCTCACAATTTCCTTGTGTGCCTGATATATCTACTTTGAAGGATGATCATATTCACAGATGGATCCTTCAGAGCCAAAAGGTGGCTGAATAAAGGGTAGAAGCTTAGTGAGCTTGCATTTATCTGCACCTACTTAGTGCTGGGCATTCTCGGGCTCCTCATCAGTATTGCATTCCATCTCAACACCAGCCTTGTGAAGATGTGCCTTTCTTTTTTGGGGGGGTGGGGGGCCAGTTGTAGGGCCTGAACTCTGGGCTTGGGTGCAGTCCCTCAGCTCTTCAGCTCAAGGCTAGCACTCTACCACTTGAGCCACAGCACTACTTATGGTTTTTTTTTTTGCTTATGTGGTGCTGAGGAATCGAACCCAGGGCCTCATGCATGCAAGGCAAGCGTTCTACCACTGAGCCACCTTCTCAGCCCAAGATGTGCCTTTCAAATGACAATGAAATTAAAGCTCAGAGAGATCAAGTGCTTTTCCTGAAGCCACATGAGTCATGGAATGTAGAGTAGTGTGTTAGTCCATTTTCTATCACTGTAACAAATACCTGAGATCACCAACTTACAAAGAGAAAAAGAGTTACTTTGGCTAATAGTTTTGGAGGTTTCGGTCTGTGTTTGCTTGGCTCCTGTACCATTGGGTTTGCGATGGGTCAGTGCGTCATACTAGAGAGTATGTGATTCCTACAGGCAGGGAATCAAATAGGAAAGGGCCATAGTTCCGTTTAAGGCACTGTAACTTCAGTGTAAGAATGGTGACAGACCACAATTCATCCATGATGTGAATGAATGTTTACTTTGTTGTATGCATCTTTTTTATGTCAGGAGTTTGTTTACAAACATATCTAGTATTCTGAGTTGGAGAGTTTAATCCATTTTCCAGAGTCTGTGCCTCTTCATTCTTATTTGTTAAATGGTGAATTACGACACTCTTACTTCTTAAGCAGTTGGTGCCTCACTATAAAAAATGGTGCAGCCAATCCAGATCCAAAGAATACAGTCATCATGGCCAGGAACCACCACCACTTGTTTTCCACGGAAGACGGCAGAGTCTTCCCCGGGCCCGATGGATCAAAGAGGTTGTAAACCTCCAGTTGCTTTGGCCCAACCTGGAGCAAAGGCGCAGAGACATCGCGGGAGAAAGGGCCGAGCAACCACAGTGTGGCTTCTACCACGACCTTGTTCGCCCAAGGCAATGGTCACAGGACCTTTTTTTTTTGGTTGGTTGTGGGGCTTGAACTCTGGGCCTGGGCACTGTCCCTCAGCTCTTCAGCTCAAGGCTAGTGCTCTACCACTTGAGCTACAGTGCCACTTATGGTTTTCTGGTGGTTAATTGGAGATAAGAGTCTCACAGACTTTCTTGCCCGGGCTGGCTTTGAACCGTGATCCTCACATCTCAGCCTCCTGAGTAGCTAGGATTACAGGGTGAGCTACCAGCTCCTAGCTTCTTGTATACTTATAAAAACATTGAACATTTTTTTCATAGTGAGATCAGAGAGAGAGAGAGAGAAACTTCCATTTTTAAAAGCAACTCTTCTGTTCTCTAGAAGTTATCTTAGTTATTTCAGTTTTTCTACCTGGCAAATGGACAAAGGGCTTTCTGAGATTTCTCAGAACACCAGCACTGCTTTCTCACCTAGATGACCCCTGCCCTGACTGGTTCTTACCACAGTGACAGGAGGAACAGACACAGCTGTTAAGAGGTAAAGATTGCAGGTGAAACATAAAAGGCTTCCCAAGGAAAGCGCTTGGACACACAATCATACACAAAAAGGAGTTTAATGTCAGTAACCTGACAGGCAGAGAGCAGTGGCCAGGAGGGACTACAAGCACGGTTATATGGGCTGGGTTCATGTGAGCTATGAGGGACATGAGGGATGTGAGAGAGGGGCTCCATTGTGGTGGGCTAAGGTGTCAGGTTGCAGCTGCATGAGCAGGGGGGAGCTGTCTTATTGGTTTCAGCTGCCTACTTTGAAAGGCCCTGTGTCAGCTAATTATGGGGAAGGGCCATGCTTTACTACAAGGCCTAAGATGATGGAGGGTGTTCTGAGATGGAGGAGATAAGGCTAACATTCCAACCCTTTTTGTTTATTTTTGGCAGGGATTCCACATTAGGGTGTATTGGCGAAGGTTCATCTTCTGTAACTGGATAATGGGCAGAGTCATTTGGAAGTGTCCTTTGGGTGAGGAGCAAGGTGATATTGTCCCAGGAGCATCTGATTGGCCGTCTGAAGGCCCTTGCTCTTTCTGTGAGGATCTTCTGCAGGCACCTAAAAATACAGGATAAATTAAAAATGGCCACAAGGGGACCCAGCAGGGGCAAAAATCCATGTGGCTAGTGGACTCTGCAGGGATGATTGCAAAGATGAGGGAGAGGCCCTAGCACATGAATTAGTGGCAAGCTTGACTAGTGCCTGTGTTGTAAGGTGAATCATCCCAGAAGCCACATTTTGAAATATAGAATATTGGACTTTATATTACACAGTTAGCAGGCTGCAGGCAGCCAGTTTTTACAAAGGCCTGCAGCATGCAAATACACATAGCACAGCTAGGAAACATGCTAAAGAGGAAAGAAAGAACAAAAACAATAACTACAATCCAATTCAGCTCCAATGGAGAGCGGAATTGGGACACCATGGTGACTGGAGATGAGCCAGGAGTCAGGACACAGAAGACGATCATGGAGACACATGTGGCAGGGCTTCCTGGTGTTAAGGCTGGTCAGAGCCTAAATAGGTTGGCTCAGGGGGCAGTTCCACAGGAAATTCCCAGTTCCAGGCACTGGACTGACAGATTCGATAGCCTATCAGCCAAGTGCCCACCCCTGTCTCCAGGGATCTGGGCACGCCCATCACCAGGGAGGCAAGTGATGGGCAGGGAATTTCCTTCCCCCAGCATGAAGACAAGATGCCAGACCCTACCATCCACCATGTGGCCAATATGTGCCAACCAGACCTGACCTCCTTACTTTACCTGTGTATCTTCTTCCACCTGTCCTGTCATGTTTACACAGTGGCATAAGAGGATGCTTGTCCACCCTTCTCT